CCCTTCCGCGCCTGCTAGTGGCCGCTTCCCGGGCCCTTCCTCCCTTCGCTTCCTGCCGGCGCAGCACAAAGACGCCACTGCGCTCCGGCCCCTTTCGCGGTGCACCCGAAGCAGAGATAGACAGACATATATAAAAACAGCAGCAGGGTTTGCACGTCAGCCCCTGGAAGGCTGCAGCTGGGAGGGTTTTTGTTTCCCTGGTCGTTTGTGCAGCGGAAAGACTCCTCCACATCATGATACTGTGGCATATTTTTATTATTTATAATAATAATAATAGCAGCAGGAGCAACAGTGGTAGCAATGATAACACTTGCAACGTGGGAGAGTCGGAAAGAAATCAATCTGGGGGTGCAGAACTGAACTAGAAAGGGGTTGGCGTCGAAATCCGCGGGATTTTACTCCCGAGTAACGCCGAACGGGCGCGCACGGTCCGCCGCCAGGAATACTTTTTTATCATCACGATCATTGTTGCTTTATTATTATCATCATCATCATCATCATCATCCAGTCAGGATAGAAATTCGCGATCCTTCGTCAGAGGTCGAAAGTTATGGACAAAAAGCGCCCCCCCTTTTTTTAAAAAAGCGTTTATCTCTGAAAGGTTCCCGTTCGTTGCCTTTTGCTTTGTTGTGCATGGGTGCGGAATGTGTATATAAAATGTATTTCTAGAGTTGCAAACTTTTATTTATTTGTTTATTACATTTATATACTGTCCCTTTAGCACCATGTGTTGTCTGGGGCGGTGGACAGCAATAAAAAGACACAACAATCAAATCAAAATAAAAAACACAGATTGTAACGTAAAAGAGGCATAAAATGATAGTGTGCAGGCTACATATGCCAATCCCAATATAAACCCAGAAATGAGGCTCACTCCCCAGCAAGTTGGCTTAAAAGGTATTCTGTTGAAACACTGGTGTCTTCTTTTTCATGCGGGCAGGGTGAGGAAGCATTGAAGGGGCCCCAATCCCTAATGCGGATCTTGGAAGGAAGAGAAGACCAGCGAAAGCAATAGGATGGAATGCAGAAGTAACTCAGAAATAAAGAAGGAAGCAAAAATGAGGAAACTGAGGCTGCCATACCTTGGGGACATCATGAGAAGACAAGACCTGCTGGAAAAGACATCAAATAAGAGGAAAAAATTGAAGGCAGTAGGAGAAGAGGAGATGAAATATGAGATGGATAAACTACATAAAGGAAACCACAACCTTGAGTT